CCAATCCCCCCTCCCCTTTGGCGGGCCAACCCGTTCCCCCCCTCCCGAGCCTGTAGGCACTCGTCGGCTCTGATCGGCAGTGCTTATACACCCTGTGGAGAAGCTGCGTCCGCCTTACACGCTTCGGCGTTACTACAAGTACACCAGGCCAAGGCACTGAGGAACTTTCACGAGGGTGGTCACGACCCGGAAGTTCTCACAGAACTCCGCACCGCGACGGACCTCGCGCTACGAGCGACGAAGGTTACGGAGCGGTCTCTGGGTCATGCGATGTCCACTATGGTGGTCCAGGAGCGCCATCTCTGGCTGTGTCTGGCTGACATGCGCGAGGCAGACAAGACACGTTTCTTGAACAGCCGGTTCCTCCAGCCGATATGAGGTTGGGATTTTACAGCCCTTAATTCATTGTACCCAAGAAAGGAGGTGGGTTGAGACCGATCTTGGATCTGCGCGTCCTGAACCGGGCCCTTCACAGGCTCCAGTTCAGGATGCTGACGCAGAAAGGCATCTTCGGGTGTATCCGTCCCCAAGATTGGTTTGCAGCGATCGACCTGAAGGACACATACTTTCATGTTTCGATCCTTCCGCGCCAGAGGCCATTCCTGCGGTTTGCGTTCGAAGGGCGTGCATACCAGTACAAGGTCCGTGTCTTCATGAAAGTTACGGAGGCTTCCCTTGTTCCCATGAGGGAATGGGGCATTCGCATCCTCAACTACCTCGACGATTGGCTCATACTCGCTCAGTCCCAGGATCAGTTGTGCGAACACAGGGATGTGGTACTTTCACACCTCAGCCTGTTGGGCCTTCGGGTCAACTGGGAAAAGAGCAAACTCTCCCCGACGCAGAGGATCTCTTTTCTCGGTATGGAGTTGGACTCGGTCGAGCAGACAGCACGCCGCACGCAGGAACGTGCTCAGTCGGTGTTGAACTGCTTGAATACGTTCAAAGACAGGCTGGTGGTTCCACTGAAACAGTTTCAGAGGCTCCTGGGGCATATGGCAGCTACGGCGGTAGTCACGCCGCTGGGGCTGCTCCATATGAGACCGCTTCAGCACTGGCTCCATGGCAGAGTCCTGAGGTGGGCGTGGCCACGCGGCACTTCCCGGGTCCAAGTGACACCGGCCTGCCACCAAACCTTCACCCCGTGGTCAGACCTGGCGTTTCTCCGGGCAGGAGTGCCCCTGGAGCAGGTCTCCAGGCATGCTGTGGTTTGCACGGATGCCTCAACCACCGGCTGGGGGGCCACGTACAACGGGCTTGCAGTGTAAGGGGTTTGGACGGGGCCCCAACTGCACTGGCACATCAACTGCCTCGAGTTGCTGGCAGTGCACCTTGCCCTGAGTCGTCTCAAAGTGCGCTTACAAGGCAAGCATGTACTAGTCCGCACGGACAACACAGCGACCGTTGCGTACATCAACCGACAAGGTGGTCTGCGCTCCTGTCGCATGTCGCAACTCGCCCGCCCCCTCCTCCTCTGGAGTCAGAAGCATCTGAGGTCGCTTCGTGCTGTTCACATTCTTGGTCTGGTCAACCGGGTAGCCGACGAGCTGTCTTGAGCTGCACGCCCGGGAGAATGGCGACTCCATCCCCAGACGGTCCAGCTGGT